ATATATATATATATATATATTTCCTCTCTTTAGCTCTATAGACAATGCTTTTCCACAAAGAATCAAATAATTTTCTTTTCCCAGCACATCCTTTCACTGGAAAAGGAAGGAACAAATTTTCAAAGGAAATGAACTGGGGAAGTGGACTGCTAACATATGTTCTTCCTTCTTCAGTAGTAAACTCAGACCTGAAATCCAGAAAATAAGTCATATTTCATAAAATTATTTGTTTGGTTGATAGATATATTTACTTATGGAAAAATTTTCACTCTTCATCTGCCTTTACTTCAATACCAACCACACAAAAAACATGCTGTCGGAATGCAAGTTACTACAGTGTATTTCTCAACATCTAATTTCTACAGCTTGATACTATCTCTGTTGATAACAAAGGAGGAAACATTTTTCTTATAAGATGAGATGTTTAATAAATTGATCACAGGGACTTTTTAGTTTTGCTTTTGAAGGAAATTCAACTTTTCCATTGAATACACTCCACTCGTTTTCAAAATAATGTATATATATTCAAAACTAGTTAAAGATATGTACACCATAGAGATCACAGGCATATCATAAACACTATATAGTTCTCTTCTTCTAGTCAAAATTCCACTCAAGACTATTCAATTGGTTTCGAATTTCAGTTGATAAGCTGAACTATTTTTCTCTATTACTATCGCCAAACTATTTGAATATAGTTCACTTACTTTATCATCGAGTTACCACGGTTGTATCCCATACTTCTAAAATCGTCTGCTCCTTTTTCTCTATTTGTATTTCTGAGAATTGTCTGTCTATTTGTCAAAGTCCACTGAGGCTAGTTCAATTACTTTAGAACTCTCTCTTTGGTGAAATATATTCTTCTTCTTATCTCTTTCAACACTGTTAGTCTCACTCTAATATATCAATCGTTAGGCCTTCCATTCCTATGACGATTACCTTTGAGTTTTATTTTTCTTTAGCCAAATTCCTTCTCAAAACTTTACTTCACTTTTTCTCTGCTTTGTCTTTGTCTGTCTGCTTTCCTGCTCATCTCACATTATTTATATGTTTATTACTCAATTTTCTGCTCGCTATATCCTCGACATCAATGAGTTACAAACACAATGTACGACTTAACAATTTACATAACTCTCTTGTTATGAACAAAACTAATAAATCATAAAATATTTACTCACAAAACACATTAATCGATAATATCTACACTAAACAATCTTTTATATCATGATATAAGCCCCTCTTCAAGAGAAATATTCACAATATTTTTTTTCACTATACACAAAGACTGTTCTTAGTTCATCCACAAAGTCTGCTCATACAGCCTACACCAGCATTTACATTTCCTTTGTCTGTCTCTCCAAGAGTATGGTCTTCAGTAGGGCTTCACCTTTATATGATCCCTTGTTTTCATCTTGACCTTGTGTTGTCTGAGGTTGGTCTTTCCTAATTTATCTGTAAATTGACTAAGTAGATTTTGTTCCTCTTTCTTCTTCTTACCACTTATTTTTCACTTATGTTGATGTCTTTGTACGTCTCCTCTCCACCCAGTGCTCTTAGGCCTGGTAGGTCCTTATCTTTTATAACAAAGTCATTGTCTTCAATTTCTGCTTCAATGACAGCCACACCTGCCATATCCATCTGTACCTCAATAGCTGCATCTGTTAGGGCATCTTCCCTCTCGAAGAACCTCTTCAATAGATTGGTATGGTAGACCATGGTTGTTCCATCAACTATCACTTTATAGTGCATTCTGCTTACCATTTTCTGAACATTGAAAGGTCCTTTCACTGCCAGGTGAGTTTGTTGTTGGCTGAGGGAAGCAGAACTAAGACCTTCTGTCCAACCTTGAAATGTCGACCCTTGGCCTTTTTGTTATAGAAGTGTTTTTGACTGTCTTTGGGCTTGGCCTCTCCAGTAGAACTGCTTTGATAGGTCTGGTTCAATATTCCTTTCTAGTCCTCTGTTCTGTAAGTCTCTCCTCTTATTGTCTTGTGCTTGGCTTCCTCTCAGGCACCCGTGAACCTACATTCGAAATGTCAATTTTCCAGACTTTCAGAGGCTTGATATCTTGCTTGCTCTTTTTCTTTGAGCTCTTCTGATGACAGCACATACTGCATCAATCTTCTTTTTGTCTAGATCCTCCAAATTCTTACTACCTGGTATGTTTCTTCTCACAAAGTCGTGTATTGGTTCCTTGATATACATGACCTCAAGATCTCCTATATAATATGAAGTATCCACCTTTATTTTTGTCTTGGGAGACTTTATCACTGACCCATCAATTAGCACACACAGACATACCTTACCTGTCATCTGGTTATCAGATACTAGACTGGTTATCACTGCTGCACTACTGCACCCAATGTCTCATAGAACCTTCAGTTTCTTGTTCCCAACATATCCTCCACATATTGGTATATTATGATTTGTTGGCACTTCTTGATATTTGTAACATGCTCCGATCATTATTGGCACTGTTGATCCATTTGATAACTTGAATCAACCATTAGTCGTGCACCGATCAATCCTTCTTTTTTGTATTGAAACTGAGGAGTAGCCTTGGTTCTCTTTCTTCTGGCAGCAACATCCATAGTGCCAGTAACTCTTTTCTTGTTTCTTACCAGCACTGTCTTTGTAAATAGCTCCTGCTGACTTATATTGAGATTTCTGCTTTGTTGGCTGTTGATAGATTTGCACCCCTTTGCAATGTGTCCCATTTTATAACAAACATAATATCTCTTCACCCTTCTGTCTATTAACCTCCTATCACCTTTGGTAAGCTCCTGCTTCTGGCCAGCTATCACTGGTTTCAAATTTAGCTGAATATTCTTGGACTTGCCAGTTATACTACCTCCATGGGCTTCCATATACTGTTCTGCCAGCTTGATCATCTCGTATACTTCTTTTAGTGCTCTCTCCTTTATGAATGGTGACATGTTGGTTGAACATGTGATCATGAACTGTTCTGGAACAAATAGGTCTACCAGTCCCTCAAAACTATTTTCACACCTGGCCATATCAGTCACATATATATATATACATATATATACATATATAAGCCAAAGTATCCAAGTATAGTTCACTTATTTTATCCTATACTTCTCTCTATTTCTTGTTCTTCTATACAATACAGTTTCTCCATTGTCAGATTTGACTCCTCTGAACTTCCAACAAAAACCTTCTACAGTAAGTTCATATCATTTCAGTAAGGCCACTTTTAATTCGTCATAATCCATGAAATCTTCTGATATCATGCTTCTATATACTTGTAGGCCTTTTCCTGTGAGAAGTGGGCTGAGACAGACTGCCAGTCACTTTTGTCCCAATTCTGACTTTGGGCGAATCTTTCATATCTCTCCAGGAAAGCATTCATTTCATCTTTCTCTTCATCAAATTTGGGCAGCTTGGGTCAGCTGGCCCTGACTTCTCTGTCATTCTTGGGTCCTTCTTCCTTTGGTTGGGAAAGCTTTGCAATCTCAATTTGTGCTCTTATTCTCTCTATTTCTAGTCTCTCCTCTCTCTTTTTCTTTTTTCTCACTTTGTATTCCCATTCTCTCTATTTCTAGCCTTTCCTTTTTCTCGTTTTCTTCTTTCTCTCTTTGTGATTTAATTTTTTCTATTTCTATTTCTTCCTCTCTTCTCTCTCTAGTTCGTTATTGTTTAACAAACTCGTAGTTCACTGTCTTTTAACCCAAGACGTTCTCCTATTTCTATCAATTTATCAAAATTTGACATGGTTAATAGCATGATTATAATCTCTAAACTATTTTCATTCCTACTACAGTTGTGCATATATAAGCCTACTTATTTACGCTGTCATTCACATTTTCTTCTATCGTCATTTACCACTGTATTATCCTGGCTGTAGCTCGCCAACTGTCAGAAACTTACATTTTGAGTAGTACTACAATATATATAGGTGTGTGTTGGAGTAAAGATTCTTCTACAGTAGGTGTCTGTGGCTTATTAGCAATAAATTCAAAAATCAATGACATCACTCACTCCACTTGTTTTCAAACTAATATACATATTCAGAACTAGTTAAGGGTATGTACACTACAGAGATCACAGGCATATCATAAATACTATATAGTTCTCTTCTTCTCGTCAAAAGTCCACTTAGGCCTATTCAATTGCTTTAGAATTTCAGTTGACAAGCCAAACTTTTTTCTCTATTAGTATTGCCAAACTATCCAAGTATAGTTCACTTATTTTATCCTATACTTCTAAAATTGTCTGCTTTTTTACTCTCTTTGTATTTCCGAGAATCGTCTGTCTATTTGTCATAGTCCACTCAGGCTAGTTCAATTACTTTAAAACTCTCTTTGACGAAATAAACTATTCTTCTTATCTTTTTCAACATCGTTATCTCACTCTAATATATCAACTGTTAGGCCTATATTAATTGTTAGGCTCATCTCACATTATTCATATGTTTATTACTCAATTGTCTGCTCGCTATATCCTCGAGATCAATAAATTTCATGTGACGTTTGATAATCTCGACATGAGTTACAAACACAACATACAACTCTTACCGATTTATGTAACTAAACTTGTCATAACATTTACACTAAAATAATTGCTTCTAACTCTCGTTATGGACAAAACTAAAAATTCATTGAATATTTACTCACAAAATACATTAATCAATAATATCTTCACCAAACAGTCTTTTATATCATGACAAGGACTCATTTTAGCAAACAAACTTTATAGTAGGCATTTTCATATTTTTCTCTATTTTCAAGATACAGCAACATAATTAGTAAATTTTGAAATATGAAAATATAGACTTGTATTTGTCTATTAAGTTTGGATATTTTAGTAAGATATCAGAAGCACAAGGAAAACACAGAAAACTGTCTAAAGTTTGAACAACCTAGTAAGACAACAGAAACATGAAGTAAATACAAAAAGCTGTCTAAAGTTTGGACAACTTAGTAAGACCAGAGGCACCAGGTAATCATAACATATTGTGTATTAAATTCAGAATATCTAGTAAAATACTAGAAGCACCATGTAAATAGAAAATTGTATATTAAGATTTTGCAGTCTAATGAGATACCAAAAGCGTTAGGTAAACATAAACTGTTAAGTTTGGACAGCTTAGTAAGACACTATAAAACTACCTAAACACTAAAAACTACTAAAATACCAGTAACACCAACTTAACAAAAAAACTATC